TGTGCTTATCTTTAATCATGCCTGGCCAGATAATTTCAGCCCCTAGAAGTGCCTGAATCACTGAGCTGCAGGGATATCCTCGCCGTTAAGACTGAGACATTGAGGTTTCAGTGAACTTTCAGTGTGTGTGTTTGTTTTGTTTTTAAGGCATACTTTCTTCTAATATTAGCTCTCTGCCCAATTATTTCACAGCTTCAAAGTAGCAGCGCCTTCCCTCTTGAATTTGTTACCTAGAGGAGTGTGACTGCCAGCGCACACTAGGGCAGGAACAGGGGCAGGTAGTAGAGGAGGGCTTGCTGCAGGGGTGTCCTCCAGGGACAGAACCAGGAGGGCAGACAAAGCAAGCCAAAGGTAAATGGACTGGGTAGAGAAGAAAGGCTGGAATATGCTTCTTTCCCTTTCAGAAAGGGTATCGTGAGGTATTGCTTTGCTTGAGGCATCTCAAGCTGGGGAAATCAGCATAAGGGGTTGTTCTAAATGATATAAAGACAAAGCTATTGTGTAGTGAGCTAGGAATGGGATGCTTTTGAAATCCAATCTGTTTGTTGACCATAATTTCCTGTGTGACTTTTAACACATTGGGTGTGTGTGTATATATGTGTTTGTGAGAGGGAGTAGATTTGTTTTCTAATTCCCTGTGCTTTGTATTTTTCCCAGCATGGACAGTTGCAGTCTGCTTGCCATTTATGCTTAAAGATTGTTTCCATTGGGCTCATCTCTCTGTTTCTTACATTTCATGTTGGGCAGCTTTAGGTACTCTGAACAGTACCTTTCAATAATAAATGATTTCCTCTGAAATGTTAGTGTTCTATTGGGAAAATCTCATTACTTTTTTTGACATAAAGTTACTTATTTTTTTGCACAAAGTGTATGTTGGTTTATGTTGAAAATATGAGACTGTATGCATAAATAAGTTGTTTCTGTTGTTTCTGTAGTTGGCTTTGCATGTGCAAGGAGAGTGGATCTTGAGTTGCATTTTCCCACTCATTACAACCCCTTCTTCCATACTAATAGATGACGTTATTGGCAGTAGGAAAAGTAGGGCTTAGAGGACTGTATGTGTGTGACATATCAGCCTTACTTCTGTGATTAAGGATGCAGTTAATCTGCAGATTAAGTACTAAGCACAAATGCAAAACAAAATCCTCTACCATTTCTGAAGGTGCCCATCATTCAGAGCTGGGCTTTTGGATGAACTTGAGAAGCAGGCTCCTGGGCTGCCCAAAAAGGTGTCCTGCAGCCATGAGCTGTGGAGGGTGCTTCTTGCATGGGAATGGGTTACCTTCTCTTTGATGGAAAACAGTGCAGGTGTTTGTTTTATTTACAGTTGCCTTGGGAGAGTAATTATTGTGCAGAATAAAATGGGAATGTCTGACTTCTTCCTTTTTTAATTGCCTGCGTAATTTAAAAGCCCCAGTTTTCCCTGCTGATGACTGAATGCAGAAAGAAGGAGTGCCGAAACGCTGATTATCAGAAAACACAATCTAAAACCTGCAAGTCATCTGTACTGGTTTGTAGCTGATGGCCCTGTTTGCGTGTACTGGTCTTTTTCTGAGGTGAGAAGGATCTTGGATCCAGCTCATCACTGAGGAGGCTGAGAAAGCTTCCCTATTTTCTCACCTGGACAAATCTGTGATTTTGTGTCAAAGGAATAATGGGTTGGCATATTGGAGCTATTCTGCTCAGAGAGATCTCTGTAGTTGTTAGAGCAGTCATTCTTTCCAACAATTCCATTAATTCCTATTTGCAGACTGACTGAAGAATGCCCAGGATAAGCACCAGCAGGATGGATAGGCTACCTTCTGGGAAAGTCCTTGGTTCAAATTTTGCCTTGAAGTTAGGCAAAAAAGAGCTATGAACCAGTTTGCAGTATTCCAAAAGCCAGGCACTCAGTCAAATTACCAGCTGTTAGATGAGCTGTAATTGTTGTCCATGTGTAGTCTTCACCCATGGCAAATGCAAGGTAATGTAATTCAGCTGAACTCTATCCCATTAAAGTGAATGGGCTCCTATTAGCTGTGGGCCAGGAACGTGCACTTGGGGAGCTATCATAGCTTGGTTGTTGTGTGGATGGCTGTTATTGCACTGTACCACAGCTCTGCTGCAGCCTCTGTTTGTGTGGCCTGTTGATCAAGGGACAGGTATGGCCTGCCCCTAAACCTCATACTATTTGGTTGGGTGTTTTTTTGTGTTGGTTTTTTTTTTTCATTTGTTTGGGGGAGGGGGGATAAGGGGGCTGGGAGGAAGTGGTCAACATGCTGAGTTTGGAATTGATGGAAATAGTAGTTTGCCATTTCCAACAACTACGGCCTCCTCTTCCAGTAGGAGGACCTACTGCCTGTAACAGGTACTGTTGCCAAACACGTCTTTCTTCTCCTGGGAGTGTGCTGGCCTGCAGGACTCTACCTCCAGTCAATTCCCGAGCTTCAAAAACAGGAAACATTATTGCAGTTTTCACCTTCCCGAAATAACTGTGTTAACTTTTAACAGGACTAAAATTGTCCTGCTAGTAATAGACCAAGCAGCAGTTGGTCCTAATCTACGGTTTCTTTGTCTCTTGCATCAGTACCTTGCCCAGGAGTAGCAGAACAAGCAGAATGTCTCACCCACAGGCAGTTCAGCAAACCTTGGCAACATGGAGCCATATACAGTTTAGTGATCGTAAGGGTGTTTTGGAAGGAAATTGGAATAAAATGGTGTAGAAAAGAGTCTAAGGTGGTCTTGTGTTTGCAATTTATGATTATAGTTTGCTTTTAGGCATTTGGAGTAGATGATTTGACACACAGCACCACTGCATTGTTATGAGGTCAGGGTTGCATATACCTCTATACCCTTGTGATTTGGTGCTTTCTTCCAAGCCAGGGCTGACATCTCCAGTTACTGGCTGCTAAAAGCTTTCAGGTTATAAGCCATCCCATTCCAACTGTCTCCCAGAAATCATTTCAGTTTGGCTTTTTTTTTTTTTCCCCAGCCCTATTCTTCTTTACTGGGATTCTCTGGAAATAAAAGTCAGGATGTATTTCTTAAGCATACATGAGGTGTAACATCTGTTGTTTGCGACACAGATCACTGCACATGGCAGGATGTATGTGGAAATGTGTGCACAGCCAGCTTTCACTGCACAATGAAGATTTGGTTAAATGGGAATTAGGATTAATGCTGGATTTAAGAGTCTCATAGTTGGCTGGTAATAACCTAATCTCCTCAAAGGCTGCAGGCAGGCTGGCAGCATTCAGCCCAAGGCTGTTGTTTGCAAAACCTGAAAGAAATTGAATTTTGATACTAAGAGATCTTTAACCAGAGCCTTTCAATATAATGTATGCTCTTCTCATCCTTGTGTCAATTGGAGACATTTAATTTATTCACCTATGCTTCTAGATCTGATGGGTATTTGACTCTTTTTTTTCGTTTCCCTTTGTAAGAGATTAGAGCTTCTGATTGATTTTTTTTTTTTTAATATATTTATTTATTTTTATATATTTATTATATATTTATGAATAAATTGCATTCTGGAAGTTGATATACCAGATTCTCCACATAGGCAGAGTGAGATACATCTATGGAGGGCAGCAAGCACTACCTGGTTTGAAGCGGTTTAGGGTGCAGAATGTCTTTCGGGTAAGGAAGCTCAAGAGTCTGCAGAGGTATAGAGCTTCTGGTGTGTTGTGGTCAGTTCTCTCCTGTCTGATTCAGTTGTTGCTATGGCAGAGACAGCCTGTGAGAAATGAGTTGGTGAGTATGGGCAGGTCATATGAATCACTGCATTTGACAGCAGGTTGGAAATAAGGCATGTTTTGAGGTTAATTCTTGCTTCAGTTTACTGTGGCAGCAGTGCAGTTTTCTTTGTGCCTGGTCTGGAGTGAAAGTCAGGTATTTAGTCATCGAAGTAATCAACATTTAATTGTAAATACAAGTTAAGGTAGTGTTTTGGCAGGCTCAGTCCTGCGTTCTCAAACAGGATGGAGGGTGGTCCTGTGTGGAGCCAGGAGTTGCACTCAGTGGTCCTTGTAGGCCTCCTGCAACTTGGGGTGTTCTTGTATATCTGCTTTTGATTGCCCCCTTCCAGCCTTCTCTTGGCTAGCAGTTTTGTCTGATTCTGCCCAAACTGTGACAGCTGTCTTTTGCAAAATGTTCCATCTGCACTGTTGTTTATGGTAGCCTGGAAGATGATGTGCTTGCTCTCACTGCTTTTCCTCTGTTTTAAACCAACTGTTCTTTCTGTGAATGTATTCCCTTTGCAGAAGGTATCAAAGGCCTCTATAAAATGCTGTTGTGTGGCACTGACAATTGAGGTTTCTGTTAGGCCACTGAGGCTGGAAGAAGCAGAGATGTTTTGATTTGAGTGTAAAGCTTGTCCTGACACTGCTGATACAGTTCGGTATCTTTGTTGCCCAAATGAAAATGACTTATCTGCAGAGGTGATGGTGAATAGGCACCTTTATCAAAACCTGTCTTCTGTTTGTTTTTTTTTTCCTTATGTCCGCTCATTCAACCCCCACCTTGATGGATTTCATTTTATTTTGTTGCTTTTTGTTATTCCTCCTTGCCTTTTCTCTCACCACCACCTTGTGCCAAACCTACTATCAAATCCTCCTCTTAAAACAATCAATCTTTAAAGCATCGGCCATAAGGAAGGGCATTTCTTCTGAGGATTCTTCAGTTTGCTGTGTCACTTTATCGTCATTGGATGTGATATTGAGAAAGGCACTGAAGTTCTGCTTTCCCAAGGGTGAAGGCCCACATGATGACTTGATTAAAATTTGAAAGATAGTGACTTAGTCTACTGCTGCTAACACCCCAGTTCCCATTCATTTCAGAGAATGTGAAAGTGTCAGTTTAAATTCAGATCTATATAGTGGTTCACAAATCCCCCCAAAAGCACAAGTTTGTTGTAGGCAGGTTAATGGGAAAGTTGCTGTTTTAGTAAGTGCTCTGTTTTTAGAACTATAATCCAGCCTAATCTTTTCTCTTTCAGCTCTTTTTCTTTTTCTCTTCCACAGAGATTAATGGGAAGGAAAAGCGGGTAAAGAGGGAACCCAGAGGAGCCTGGCACCCAGCAGTGAAGGTTAGTAGAGAGCTGCATGAGCTGTCCCAGCACAAGAAGGTTTGTTTTGGCTAATTAAAAGCATCCAACTGTCTCTAGGAGACCTTAGCCCTCTGCAGGAACCAAACGGCTTGATTTAAGTCATGTCACAGTTCAGGGAAGAGCCTTGTGAGCATCTTAAAACTATTGCTTTGTTCAGTAATGTGAGCGGTTGGAGAGTTTGGTCTATGGCTTTTCTGGTGTGTGCTGCGAGGTGGCAAGGACTGCTTAGAACAACAGTGTGTAATGAGACAGAGCCGAGCCCTGGGGCGAATGAAGCTGTGATTTCTAAACCTGTGAAAACTCAGGAGAGCATGCATTAATACTGTAGCTCTCAGTCCTAGCCTCTAGTAAGGAGATAGGGGCCATTATACCCCTCTGAGCAGAACCTGGGATGAGGAGGAATCTCTCTGTAAAATCTTGGAGAAGAACGAGCATGGTGACAGTGATTTAAAAACAAGCAAACAAAAACCCTCTCACATAAGCAGGATATTTCTGACCCAGAATGTGAGACTTCAGCCAGCATGAGGCTTTGAGTCCTCTTAGTGTTGACACGGGCATTAGCCAGCGGTGTGTCCTTCTGCTGGTCTGAGCGTCTCATGAAGTCAAGGAATTTGTGATGACTATTTTGGCTGATGCTCTTTGTGTTACAAAAAAAGAAATTGTGCTGTGTGTGTTCTGTAGTAGCTGGTAGAGATGGATGGGTGTGAGTAAGCTGACTTGCCGATGGTACCTTTGAGAGTCCAGACTGATGGATCTTACAAATACTCAGTGGCAATTCATTATTCTCTCTCCAGTGGAGTCAGCTCTGTGTAAGACTGAGAGGTCTGCCAGAGACCTCACCAGCACGTGAAGCTGCACCTCAAAGCTAAGTGCTTGGAGCAGATCTAGTGGATGATGCTCTGCTTTTCTGTATTTGCAGTCTTGCCTGTGCTAACCCAGCCAATGTCACCACAGCTAGCATAGCTCCATCAGCAGTTTTTCCTTCAGGATTTCCTAACTGTGGCCAGGAACATGCAACATGAGCTGTGCTCTGGCGTGTCTGTGTTGTGATACCGATGAATGTGGTTGGGTGATCTGTAAACACTGCTGCATGTTCTGATGGTGAATGTGTGCAAGCTGTTTGCACAGTGTTACTCATTTATCCCCCTAGTCTTTTCCGTGCTCCCTGCAAGCTCAGCTGCCTCTCTATCTCCCCTGATAAGCGGGTGTGTGATCTGAGACAGAGCCAGCAACCAGAGCTGAAGGTGGGTGGGAGTCCCGCATGCATAGTTTGGGGGCAGCTTGGTTTCTTTTCTGATAAGCCTGTGCCTCTTGTGGCAGTGCTGTGCACGCTCCTCTTAAACTGTAATCATAATCCTCTTTACAGCAGGCGCTGCTATCCCCACAGGAGGCATTAGCAATATCACAAAGTGCGGAGACTTCATTGTTTTCCCCTAATCTGTGAAGGGAGTTGAGACAAGACAGAGGAAACTTTAACCTATTCTGTGCCTCGGTGGTAAATAATTATTTTTCTACCAGCTGGAAGAATGGAGGAAGCCTCTTAGTATAGATAAAATAAGTGCAAGGCTCACAGGCTTATCTTGTTCTGTGGAATTCAGGAAAGGACACGTCCTTGAATTCGCCTATCTCACATGCCCCGTTTTTTGTGTTTGGGAGAAATGAGTCTATTAAAGCTGCCCTAAGTGACTGCTGGATGGAAGGCACCTCTTGCCAGGAAACGCTGTAGCTGCGCTTTTGTTTGAGGACCCTGAACAAAAGGCTTTGGATGCTTAATAATGTGCAAATTTGGGTGGGTGGGAAGTAGAGAAGGTTAATAGGGCAGACTGACAGAGGAGGAGCTGAGCTTGGGAGAGGAGGAGAGGAATGCTGAGGACATGGCAGCACGCACGGGGAGGTAGAACAGGAGCAGCAGCCCCTTTTTGTCATGCTAAAGTTCATGTGGTCACCACTGGAAATTTTGGGGTAAGTATAAGCTGTCCTCTGAAATAGTGGGACCTCCAGCCATGGGGTGTGAGAGGCCCCTGTGTGGCTCCACATCAGCTGTGGGTGCGCAAGGCTGCGCTGAGCTCTGCCAAGAGCACATCTGTCATATAGGGAGCTGGCTGTGACTGCGTGTGTGGGTGGGAATTCACTTTGGGTCACTGCTTTACGTTCAACAAACTCCTCTTTGCAAGCTGCCTGCCATAAAATCTGTCGTGTCACGCTTGGCTGTGTGCTGCAGGGCAGGCCTGGGAATGGGGCAGACAGTGAGGGGGCCTGGGAGCTGCTTGCGGTGCGTGATGTCTGTGAAAGTTCTGTAATCAAACCACCACAACAGGAGCAAAGAAACAAAAGCCTCTCAAAACTGGCATGAGACAAAGATCCGGAGAATTTGCTTTTTATTTTTCTCGAGAGCCCCTGGAGATGACTTCTTTCAAGGGAAAAAATGTAGCTTTCAAGGTCGAGCCTTTTTTCCCTCTTTTTCTCCAGGCTTCAAAGGCAGCCGGCTGAGAGCTTCTTAGGAATGTTATATCTATGTGGAGCAACCATAGATTGGAGGAAGGACACTTCTTCCTCTTCCAGGTGTCCAAAGTTTCTGCCTAAATTACCTTGAAAGTGCAGTAAACAAGACCAGACCTCAGTGAGCATGGTTGGCACGACACAGCAGAGGGCTGGAAGCTGGCAGTGGGGAGTGGTGTTATGCAGGGGAATTCAGTTGTGATGCGAGCTTTATTTTCCTGGTACCTTAATAGAAAACCTTTTAATGTCTGTGCCTTGAAATAAAGTTGATTCTGAAATTGAAATTGAAGAAATTGACTGAAATGTAAACTTGTAATGCCTGCCTGCCCAGCCTCGAACTCTTAGCTTTGGCTACTTCAGTCGCTGCTGACACACGCTCTTTTTTTCTTTTTATTGGACTGCTTATCCTTTTTCCTTTTAATTTTAATCTGTGTGTATCAAACAGTGAAATCAACCAGTTTTGCTTCCTGACTTTAACGTCAAACTATTGTTCCTTCCTTGTGTTATCCAAACGTTGCTGGCAGTGAAGGGGCTTTGGATTGGGCACCTGACATGCTGCAGATAGAGGACAGAGCAGTTTGGAACAGGGGTTAGAACTTTGGAACTAGTTTAACACAGTTCCACTGGTAATGGGTGCAGATTTCTTGCTGATTGTGGTAGAAAGCTGATGTGTAGCACTGTCGAGAGCATTTGGAAATCTCTGCAGTAGAACCTATGGACACAATCTGGTTTCAAGCAGTCATTCATAACTGCCTCTTTACATCTCAAAAGTGTAACTCAACTGCAAATGGCTTTCACACCAATTATTTCACTCTTCCTTTTGAGTTGTTTATCCCATTTGCCCTGTGCAGCTAAAACTCAGTTTGTGCTGAAGCTGCTGTTTCCTCTGCGTTTGCCATACTGGGGACAAGGTGTGAGACGTGAGATTTGTTGCATGGGTACCCAGGCTGGCAGTGACAGTTGTCTCACTGCAGATTGGGTGAGTGTAGTTCATTTTGTGTGTTTTTTCTTTTCAACTAGGCTTCTTAAATGAAGAAGAGCAATATTTAAGCTTCTGAGTAAATAAGCAGAGCACCCTGGCTTCATCAGCCCAAATATTTACTCTAGGCATTGAATATCTGGGCAGGGTAATTTTGATGCTAAAACTCATGCGCCGAGAATGCTGTAGATTGACTAATCCTGCAAAATTCCAGAAATCCCTGTCTGTGTAAATAAACTTCCTATGTGAAGGATTATAGCTAAATAAATGCCATGGATTCAGATCAGCAGGGCAGAAGTGTAGAAGTTGTGTCTTGTGTCTGCTTGCTTCTGTATTTATTTATTTTCAATAAGGATATTCATCTTAGCCTAAATAGATGTATGAAGAAAACTGCATACACTGAAGCAGAGTGCTGTTGTATATTTCGGAGAGGAAATTTACCACTCTGCCTTTTTGTTAGCAACTTTTCTTTTTCAGATTTGTCAGCTTGATTTGCCTGGTCTGGGATTTTTTTTTTTAATTCTTTTTTTTTTTTTTTTTTTTTTTTTTTGGGGGGGGATTGGGGCATGGGGTTGAGGGGATGACATTTCTGGTGAATGTGTTCTGGAGGTCGTTTTCTCCTGCTTGTAATTGGCCAACATAAAGAGTTGATGAAATTGCTTTGTTGAAGATCCAAACATTGTAGCCCAGTTGCTGAAGATCCGTCTCCTCATGCTCCAGTTGCTGAGCTGAGCTCTCAGCGTCTGGAATTGCAGCAGTAATGTTGGCACCTCTGGAAGACTGATCCATTGTGTTTCCTGCAGGGAGGCCCCATTGTAAACCCGTTGGTGTGGGTATGGTGTAAGCAACCTCCTGAGCCATTTGGCTTCTCTCCTATTACTATATTAATCATCTGTTCTTTGTGAGACTTGTTTCAAGTACAGACTTATCTGGGATCCTTATCTCAGGGGTGTTCTGTTAGTACCCCTTGATGTTGCCATCTCTGTTATTTGAGATGGTTCCAGAGATGAGAAGGCTGTAAACACCTGGGGGAGAGGGATTAGTGTCCCTGTTGTAAAGGGAGTAACAAAGAAAAAGAGCGTAAAATTAGAGATATAAAATCAAAACTGTCTCCAGAGAACCTCCCAGCAGTGTTGTTCACTGAGTTCATGGAAAGCAAATGTGTGTTCTGCCATCTGAGAGTTTTGAGAATTATATGTAAAAATAACACAGGAGAACATGTGGCTAGAGGGATTTGTATTTTGCAGGCAGAGAAAGATCCCAGCCATTCTTACTCACTCCTTCCTACTTGTGAGGTAGAAAACTAGAAGAAACAATTGCCTGACTGAAGTTTCAAGAAGGTGTCTAGTCAGAAACTTGTGCCATGCGTGGCCACTTTGTCCTGGTAGATGATGCTCCCTGCTTGAAAGGGACCAGCAGGGGAGGAATTTAACTTATTTTACTTGCCAGCGTGCTCTGTAGGCAAACTTCCCTTCTATCCCATGTTGCATTAGTCAGTGCT